AGCTTATTGAGTTCTCCAAAATATCACATACCATACACACAATAGAGGTTGCTATGTGAAAACCATAATCTTGCCATTATGCCATGAGATGTATCATGTTCTTTCCTTTCCATGTCGGGGGCCAAAACCTTGGGTCTTACAGACAAGTGCCAAGAGCCACCTCTTGGTCTTCAATGCAAATATCATAAAGACAACTAGCATACTACATATAGCTGCCAGGGTCCGAACACTAGTCTTGCATAGAAATTGTCGGGAACCACCTCCAGGTCTTTCATAAAAATTGCAACGTCTACCCTCTAGTCTTCTTATATAACATAATCCAATGGTCCGGTATAGGTGCCTTCGACCCCCGAGTACAGTAAGGAAACTCACCTGAATCACGATGCTAACTAAAACCTTGTGCAATGCCACACCAATCACAACCAATAACTCTCTCCGCCAAAAGATGGGTGCAGAGCACAATTTAACAATCTATACAAAACAAACCCTAATTCTACTTTCTGAACATAGAGATTGACCAAAACGTCAACCCATGCCAAAAGTCAACGACCAATGTTGACTTTAGTCAACCACCTTATCATGGCCACCTATGGCTACGCTGTGGGCCTCCAGCAACAATCCATCATGATATTTCGTTATCGTCACGTCGTAGCAACCTGGTGCCACGATGTGGGCACTGGGTCTTTAGCAGCTTAATGGATTAAGCTGCCTCCCTCAATCCTAAAGGCTCCAAAGTTAAGATCTTGTCTATACTATTGTCCAAATGGATAAAATTTCCAACTTTATCCATTAAGACACCCAAAGAGATCAATATCTCAAACCCTATGTCCAAATAAAGCCAAAATCCATGATGTCTTAATCATTAAGCCCTTAATCAGAAAAAGTCCTTAACCCAACCACTCCAGAAGGGTTTATAACACCAAATCTATCATAAAGGTGGAAGCTTTATAGACATGCATGTCCAATACATGTCTAAGATCTATCATAGGTCAAAATATGTCCCTAAAGGCCAGAACTTAAGCAAATGATAAGATCTTCCATCAAAGACTAGATCCATAAAATATAATACTCTTGGTACCTAGTAGATTCATAAAAGTTACCAACTTTATGAGTTCCTTCCCTCCAAACTTGCTCAAACATGAGGAACATGGAATAATATTCAAGATCCAACCACCAAAATTAATAAAGCAAGGAGCTTGGACACTTACAAAGGTCCAGCGACAATGAGAGATGTTGATGGTGTTGCTTCGTTGCAAGATCCAACAATAGAGCAACTTCTTCTCCTTCTTCTCTTCTTCTCCAAGATAAGAAAGCTCCAAAAAGCTTAAGAATCAAACAAAGGAAGGAGGCTAGGGTTTTAAGGTGAAAGAGGGCTTAGAGGCTGATAATGAACCCTAAAATGGGTTTAGGGAGGTTTAAATACGAAGGGAACCCTAAAAGAATGATGAGATTGGGCTAGAACAACTTCCACGTTGTGGAAACTCTTGGTCACGCTGTGACAGCTCAATAAAATATGCATGCCATTTATTCAATGCCACACCATGGGCATCTTTGCTCCATGTCATGGCACAAAGTTTTTCCCAAAAACTCCTTCTTTAGCCTTAGAGAATAAAAGCTAAACCATATTGGGATATGAGTGTTATAGTTTGTTTCTCAAAGATCTAGTTTTTTCACATGACCAACTTTATGTTACCTTATCGACATTTCAAAGTAGAGAATGATTAAAAATGTTAATTTTAAATAAGGATAATAAACTCACAAATAAAATTTCAATGATGTTTATAAAGAGGCTTTTAGAAATTTATAAACAATTTTTGATTTTATGTTTTGTATCATCTTTTAGTTAATTATAGTTAGGGCAGTAAATGAACCGAATATTCAACGAACTGTTCATGAACTGTTTAGCAGGAAGTTTGTTTATGTTCGTTTTTTTAATAAATTAACGGACATGAACATAAAAATTCTTGTTTGTTTAGTTAAATAAATAAACATGAACAATAATATTGTTCGTTCAATTATGTTTATAACCGATCGTTTATGTTTATTCATTTAAGTTTATTTTATTTTCATATATGTTCAATTATCTTTGATTACGTTACTCTATTATATTTTTGTATATGTTCATATATGCTCATATATATTCATATATGATTAGTTATGTTTGTTTATCTTCGTTCGTTTATGTTCGTTTAGCATATTCACAAACATAAATGGACAAACATGAACAATGTAATTTGTTAAACAAATGAATATGAACAAGAAAACTCGTTCATTTCTTCGTTCGCATTCGTTTGTTTGTTCGGCTAACTTAAATGAACGAATATGAACAACCCTTGTTCGTGTTCATTTCGTTCATTTACATCCTTTCTTATAGTAAATCACACTTCATTCATCATTTTAATTTATAATTTAATCTGTTGAGTTTATGTATTTTATTATATTATCATCATGTTTAATTTGTTATATATCAATATCATTTCCATGATTTATTGTTGTTTTTTTTACTATACTCAAATGTATATTCCATTGCACATACTCATCTTTTATAAAATATCTAAACATACCAAACATAAATTGGAAATTAATTTTTAAATAAAACTATAAATTTACTGACAAAACATTTATCTTTGTAATTAATAAATTTATTACAAATATTTATCTTTTTTTCTTTATCAACTATTGTTTCTATTGGCTTAAACATAGTTTAATGGAGTAAAAAAAATTTAAAAAAAAAAATAAGAATAAGGCGGCCATCCTTAATTTATTTTTATTACTCTAGTTTTCAACAAAGATTAAAAGATTTTGGGCTTTAACCCTTTCACTTTAGCTTTTTAGGTGTTTATATATAAGATTATTTGGGCCCTACGAAAACCAGCCCGTAATCTTCATAACCCAATTACAAGAGGGACTTGGACTTCTATGTTCTACACGAAGGATTTAAACAAAAAAAAAAATGCTACTTTTTATTTGAATTTCATTGATGACAATTTCACAAAAATTCAAGTAAGAATACTTGTGAAAACAAAAAACATTTATTTTCGTTAAGTCAACATGAAACTTGAACTTTGTGAAAAATCTTATTATTATTAGTAATATTACTTATATTATATATTCCGCTATCCAAAAATCTTAAGATGGACCGTACAAGCTAGTTGAAAAGGAGAATTTGTAAAATGGAACTAATCATCTTTCAGTTTCTTTATTTTGAATAATTTTACTTTTAATATATTAATTAAAAAAAAAAAAGCATTTTGATGGAAAAAGAAAAAGCGAATGGACGGTTATATAAAGATTTACAACGGAAAAGTTCTACCATATTCGATAGTAAGTTTAGTCCGTGTATTATTAATTCGTATGTTTTAATCTGATCGTTGATCTTTTCATCGAAAAACCAGGGATATTTTTGCTTTGGTTTTGTTTTTCTTTTTGTGAAAGTAACGTTATTATTAAGAATCATCGTAAAATGCTATACCATGGTACCGAATAACGTTATTTTTTGTACTATTTTTATTTTATTTTTTGAATGAATTATTGCGATAATCTAATCAAAATTATAGTTTAAGTCCATATATATATATATATATATATATATATATATATATATATATATATATATATATATATATATATATATATATATATATATATATATATATATATATATATATATATATATATATGGGAAAAGTGAATATACCCTTAAGGGTATATAAGCTTAGGTACCCAAACTCACTATAATTAATTGTTTTGTTTGATATATTCATTATAATGTTATTAAACTTCAACTTTAACTTGATTTACTTTGAAGATTTTCGAAATTTCATTATTGTTTTCCTCTTATATCACTTCTTTTTACCGAACACCTATTAGACTATATATATTGGAGTTGAAAATGAAAATTATGTAAGAGGAATATAAATGTGAAATTTATAAAAAATATTAGAAGTAAATCAAGTTAGAAGTTGAATTATAAGAACATTGGACAATTACAATGTACACATATGATACAAAACAACATACTATGGTGAGTTTGGGTACCTAAGCTTATATACCCTTAAGGGTATATTCACTTTTCCCTAATATATATATATATATATATATATATATATTATATATATATATATATATAATATATATTATATATATATAATATATATATATATAATATATATATATATATAATATATATATATATATATATATACTAGCCGTTTACCCGCGCTAAGCGACGGTGCGAATAAATTCTTTCAGAAATTAGTTCTTAGAGGCGATTACTATTCTTGCGCAAATAGGTTCCTACATTTAAACAATTATCAATAAAAGTAATGTTAGCAAACTCAAAATCAATAAGAATGAAAAATAAAAAGTTGGGATTATTTACAAATGTACATGAACATATGATTGATTGTGCATTATTAATTGTCCAACACTTATTTATACGCCACATTTGATATATAGAATTCACTGTCGTTATTAATCGTGCTAAGCAACGGGTGATGAATACTTTGTTTCGTGAATTAGTTTTTTTTATCAGCAATGTTTATTTGAAATCTGAAATTTGATGATGGAAATGTATCTTTTAGTTTGGTAGAAAATATATTTAATGTGAGACGGAGTCGGATGGCGAATACAGTGGCGTTGATAGTATCGTTTCGGGAAATTGTTTTTTTTCGCGATTGTCTTGTTTTAGGGGTGGACACTTTAGGTTCTAAAAGTGTGGAAAAAATGCAAGAAATGGCAACGAAGTTTATATGCTTTTTTTTTATAGCATCTTAATTATGATTATACTGCATGACTAAAATTGAAATTAAAGTTCAATTTAAAAAAAAAAACGAAAACATATTTAAAAAAGTTTAAAGTTAAGTAATTAAAATATGATGTTATATTACACAAAAAATGTATGTAAATTGCTACTTCTTACATTTAGCCAATCAGGGCATTGCACTTTAAACATGGACCAAAATCACAGTAGTGTTGGTAGTAAGTAAGTGCATTGTTATTCAAACAATCCTTCCTTCAAAAGCCCCTCCAATACCTACATAAATAACGGTTATTCTGAAAACCAATTTTTTTTTTATTTTAAAAAAAGCATGTTATACTAAAATCGGATTCGGTTATAATTAGTTCGGTTTGTTAAGAAGTGAAATTAGGTCAAAAAATATGTTTTTCTTGGTTAAAGGAATCGGGTTTTTTAGAAAAACTGGAAAAAAAAAGTTTCAATTTTTTGAAAAACCTATATTAAACCGCTAGTTAGGATTTAACTGGACCAGTTTAAAAAACGGGTATAGAAAACACATATTTCGGTTTTTTGGGCTATAACGGTTACAGGAAAAAAAAAGAATTCTTTTGTTCACCTCTTCATATGCATGATATAATGCTCTGCACCATAAATAATAAAATATAAGCCCATAAATAATAATTGTGGAAAATAATAGTAAAAAAACCTATTTTGTTATGAACTCATGAGTGTTATTGTATGAGTTCTTAGAGATAGATATTGAACGCATAATTTGTTACGGGTAGAAAATTATAAAATAATTATATATTATGTTATAAGACTTTCATATCGTTATAAAGTCCTTTTGTTCATTTTTAACTCATCTAAATGAAAAAAAAATGCTCAAATTTACCAAAAAGTGAAACAATCATTTCTTGTATATTTACTTAACCATGAGCCTTAACAGGGGGTAAAATAGTCAATAAACCAAATAAACATCAATTTTTATTGTATTTTGTGATATTCTTACTTTGTTCAGGGGTGTCATACTTCTTGTTCATGCCATCTGAATCAAAAAAGTGCATGTTACTTGTAACTCCTGCTTCTCTAGTTTCAGGAGTTGGCTTCTCAAGCACTCTGTTATACGCCTGTAACACGCATCACAAAATGCTATGTAAATAATGCTAACATGTCATGTCACATAAAATTTAAAGTTTATAACATAAAAAATTATAAAGCTTTTGGCAGTATTTCTTTAAACGTTCTTTCAGCTTCAGTTGTTGATCCACTTTAGACAGCTCAAGGAAAGACTTTGATTTGAATCCATCAACAACAACTTTGGATTGAATTTGCCTCTTCAAATGATAGTAATCACTAATACTCAAATTTAAAATCAATAAATAACTGTTAGTAAATTAAGTTACAATAGAGGGGTAAATTCGTAAATAAGGTACCTTCTCTTTGCTGTTTATGTCTCTCCATGCCACTTCCATTCAAGTTTCCTAAGACAAGTTTTCCTAGGGCGATTGAAATCACATGCAATGTAGTGGGACACAAATCGTCCTTAAAAACCAAAATTGAAACCGGTGCATTAGACCAAATGGAGAATATGTATATTGTTATTGATAAGTAAATTCATCTCTTATCTATGGATATACAATTGTATTAGAAGTTTAATATATATTTGAAAGTTAATATTTGATTTTACGATACAAAAGTTACAACAATCGTCAATCATACAACTTTTTTCATTTAGAACATGATACATAAAAGTTGATGCATCTATATATTGGTAGCCATGCATTAAACATCAAATGATTATAAAAAATATCATAATAAATAGCATATACAAAAATCAGAATAAAAATCATAGCAATTTTGAAAAAATGCATTAAACATCAAATGATTATTAAAAAACAATCAGCAACAAGAAATCACCGGTTCTTTCAACTTGAGCCTCAACCCAATTATGCCATCAAAATTGTGTCACCTCAAAAAAAAAAAAAGGAATTGTCATAAATCTAAGTAGCCCCTTAATAAAAACTGTTAAAAGAGGTTTTATTCCTAGTTTATTTAGGGTTTGCTGTATATGCATAATGAAATTCACACAATGTGGTGATATTTTACATCAAAAATATAAAATTAAAGAAAAAAAAATCTTATGAACCAAAATCATTGCATTTAGTATCTTGTAATGATTATTAAAGACAAACTACATGATTTAACTTACTTTTGTGACTATATGACCAATTTGGGAATGGACGTTGTGGTGATCTTGTAGCAAATAGCCCCTTTTTTCACCTCTCAATCTTGTCTTACCTGCAACATTGTTAGATGTAGATTTTAAAATGATAAAAAGATTGAGAGAATTAGAACAAGACATCTGATGGATGTTTCCATAAGTTGTCAAGATTTATATTAAGATAAAAAAATATATGTGATCCAAAAAAGGAAATACTCTTCAAGGCCTTCAGGAGAAGATGGTGGGAACCACGATGTATCACATTTGTCACTTTAAAGTAACCTTCAAATTCAGCTTTTGGTGTATGTTCCAAATCTTCTATATCTTCACCAACACACTCTAAGAAAACATTAAGAGTGAATATCATATATCAAAAAAGTAAAAAAATCAGAAAGTCAATAGCATGGAGATGTACAGTACACTTAAAGCTTAATAAGTTAAGATGTAATCCAATCGGTGAATCTTGTATCTTCTGGGGCAAATGTAGAGCCAACATCAAAGGCTAATTTGGCAGTCTGATATTATTCAAGACTGAAACATGATGTCCTGTAAAACATGAATACTCTAAAACTAATAGAATCAACACATGCCAGAGTTTCTAAATACATTTTTGAAAAGATAACAAAAATATACAGACCCCCATTAACCAAGAAATTGAGGAAATGAAAGATCTTCTGAGTAGTCCAACCATATTCTGACACTCTTACTTGGATCCGAATTATTGTACCTACACCCATCCGAAATCATGCCTGATCAGTAACTAATAACTATAATCAAGTATGCAAAAACGAAATCATGTCATGAATCCAAATGGAAAGTTTATAGTAATATCCAAGCTATATAACATACACATAATGGCCAGACAAAAGAAACCCAAGGAAGTTATTATAGAAAATTAAGTCTACAGGGGTATTTTTGGCATTTCTCTCTGAAATTAACGGTTTGGAAAATGCAACAATATTTATGAACTATTTCATTAGCCTCATGAAATGTTGTGATTATGATATTAAATCAACACAAGATGAGATTGCATTGCAGGCGTGAAGCAAAAAAAAAAAGAATAAGAAAAAAAATTATACCTATTTGTGAGATTGTTGCACCTATGGTGATCCTGTTGTTTGTCTGAACTAATCCTAAACATAGCAAGTATATATATATATATGAAACCAACTTAATGTTTGATATAAGTAATTCGGCAAAATAAAAGTTTACCTGCCAACAGGCTTCTACTGTTCAGATCTTTGCTAAATGAACCAGAGATAAACCGTAATTGTGAAAGATTGAACTCATATGGATCTGTAACAACAGGCATCCATACGTTTATACTTACCTGCCTATGTTGAATGGATTTCATACCAAAAAAGAAAAGGAGTGATAGTAATGAAGACTGGAGTATTGAACCTTAAATAACCTTGGTCATTGTTCCCCCTTCATCATTGATTGGGATTTAGTCGGTGATATGAGAGCTCCTACCATCGCCCCATTCCCTTGATTAGGGAAAGAGTAAGTATGCGAGAGGCGGAGCAGGTTTTGAAACACGGAAAAGTCAAAACGGAAGAATACGTATAGATGAAGGCGATGAAATGGTGTAGGTGAGAAAAGCTGATTTTTGAGAAATATGTGACATGATTACAGAAATAGGTGTTACAAATATGCATTTACTGAATTACTTGAGAAAAAATTCAGTCCGATATAAAGAGAAGTGAAAAAAATTGCTTAGCAGAGAAACATAAAGATTGATTCTTGAATCATGAGTGGTGAATGTCGGGTGAACTGAGATACGGAAAAGTGCGACTCCAGTGTTTACCTTGCAAAGCAGTCGCACGCTGGTAGGTTGCAGACTTCGAACGTCATCGGCTATCTATCGAAAGAATCGTCTGGACAAGGCCTGAATCGAACATACCCGGCCCCATGGCGGCTTTCAATCGGTGTATATTATATACGTTAGGGATCAATAGGAGGAGAGATTAACAGAATTTAGGGAAATTGTACAGAAATCTTGGAAGTTCTAAACCCAGAGAAACAACAGCCCTCGTCGATTCGAATCTGGAGCATCCTATGAAGAAATGGAGGCGAGATTGTGGCCATGTGGTGGCAGTGAGTAATGCTAGCTTTGGTAAAAATCAGTGTAAGAGAGTTTCGAATTAGCGAGAAAAAACCCTAATCTTCAGCTTCGCTTTGAGGTGGAGAATCGGTTTCTGGTATGAAGGGAGCTTCCGTAGGGCAAGGATGCGATTTGGTTTGACGGCAGCTGTTTGTTTGTAGAGGAGATTAGGGTAACACAAAAGGTAATACCGTGCATTAGGTATATAAGCTTAAGATTATTGTACATTAGCTAATAACTATTGTACCTCTTAATTTTCAAGAAAGAGGCAATATGTTTAATAATATAGTAAAGATATATATATATATATATATATATATATATATATATATATATATATATATATATAGGTTTAGGTTCTATGGAAAACAAAAAAACCGTAAAAATAATAAAAATACATAAAAAATACTTGAGATCACAATTTTTTTTTTTTGAATTTTTTTATAAAAAATCGCAGGTTTTTATTAAAATTCGTTGAAAAAAATAATCATTTTTTTTATAAAAAAAATTTTAAAATTTTTTACACCGATTTTGTATAACACTTTATGTGAATTTGAATTACTATTATGCACACAGTGAATCTGAGAATGTTCACAAAAAAAACCTCGATCAGTGTAGATTCACTGTAAATATTTCAAATTTTAACATTCACAAGATGAAAACAATCCGATAAGTTCAGATTCACACTGTGACTTTGACTTATTATTATGCACACTGTGAATCTGATGAGGTTCACAATGTGAATCTGAACAGGTTTACAATATGAATCTGTACAGGTTCACAATTTGAATTTAAACTGAAATATCATTTTTTTTGTTTTTTTTATTATTTTTTTTAAAACATGAATATGAATCTATGCTTAAAAAGTACAAAAAATATGAATTTTGATATATTTATTAATTTTTTTCTATAAAAAAATAGACCTTAACTTTTTTCATCAAAGAAAATTAAGTGGGTTTTTTTCGAAAAAAAAATCGTTTTTTATATATTATCATAGATCTCTATGGAAAGAGGACGAAAATCGTTAACAACGGTATATTCGGTTTTTTTTTCGATAAAAAATATGTCCTAAAAAATATTTTAAACAAAAAAATGGTGAATTTTTTTTGTAAAAGTGGATTTTTTGGTATAATCCGGTGTGTGTGCGTCCAATGTAAAAGTGTACATCTATTTTCTTAGCCGTTCATCGTTATGATTTCCGACGCTCATGATTGGTTCCTTGGTTACTTGATTAATTATGATTCTCTATTAAACCTCAGCATATATATATATACTTGGCCATTAGATCAATAAAAAACCAAATCATTCCTGAAACATTATGATTATATTTATTATTATTATTTCTTTTAAAAATTCAAATTTCAAATTCGTTTGAAGGGTAATATGGACATTTTATTTATCTTTGTTTTAGGAACAAAATAATTAATGTGGGATTTTTAGGAATTGTTTTTTTTTCTTTTGCATAAAAATACAAATTGTAGAAAAATTGTCTTTAAAAAAAAATACATATATTCTTGATAGAAGAATAAATTTCATTCTCAATAGATATGCAAAACACCAATATACATTCTTGATGGAATACACTGTGATCATTCAATATTTATGAAAATTGTACGAATCACATAAAAAAAAATATGAAGAATTTACTAAAAGTATAATCATTCTCAAAATAATACATTGATTCGTGAAAAAACATACTTCCATTTTTCGAATTCTAATTAGGTATCAATTCAAAAAAGGAATGTACATCTCATCAACCTCTCTTTTGTTTTTGTTTACTAGCAAATTCTTTATCTATGGTTGTTGAAAAACTTCTTTATCTTTTGGTATACTCATCTGTAAAATACAAAGATCATAAATTTCATGTAAAAATATGAACAAACTCGCTGGAGAATATTATACCATGTGTGAAATGAATATAAAGGAAATGTTGGGTACAATCTGTAACATCCTTAAATTTCAACGCCAGAAAAGACCGATTTGTTTATGCTTTGTTTTAAAACCAGAGTAATCTTTTAAAGAAAATTGTTGCGGAATTTGTTCCCAGAAAACATGATAAATACTTTATCGAAGCATCTCCGAAGAGATGTATTTTATTCATTTTAAAACATTTGGTACGTATCTTTGTATCGATATTTGTGACACAAAAATATTGAGTGGGTCAGGTTTGGAAAACCTGGTGAGTAATAGGGATTTCAATCCCACAATGTTATAACACACACACACACACACACATATATATATATATATATATATATATATATATATATATATATATATATTATATATATATATATATATATATATATATATATATGTATAGCCAACTCTTATCCACCCCGTCAATCCTCTTAACGAGACTATCCATACCCCTGGACTTCAAATTCTAACTCTTACTTCCATATCTAATCCATATTCTCGAGTCCATGATTATGCTCATTCTGTACTCCCGGATAAGGGACAATTGGTCTATGTCTAAATCCATACTCCTAGACTAATGATAGATTCTATGTCCTGTCCATACTAAGAATAACTTACTATGTCTTAATCCATACTTACGAATTGA